GAGCAGTAAATCATTTAAGTGACAATTTTGTGTAAAAAAAAATATTTATTTTTGTCATTTTCCAAAAACTTGTGGTAAAAAAATAAATTCTTCTATTGATTCAACATTCCTCTCAGCAAATAGTTTGGGGTGACTACTTTCCAAAAAGGGGTCATTTTGGGGGGTGGGGGCGTTTTATGCCCAGCATTAGAAGTTTATGCCACACATCATTCATTCTTCTAACCACCTGAAGACCAAGCCTTTTTGTTCACATGAAAAAAAATCAGTATTTTTTGCTAGGAAATTAATTTAAACCCCCAAACATTATATATTTTTTTTAAAGCAGACACACCCTAGTGAATCTGACGTTCACGGCAATACCTCACATGCATAGTTTGTTTACATAACGGCACAGGGTCAAGGCTTGTGCACACAGGTTGCCGCGCGCATGGGAGGGGCAATTTTTTTTTTTTTTTTTAGTTTTGATTTTTTTTTTATTATTTTTACACTGTACCTTTTCATTTTTTTTTTTTATCACTTTTAATGCTATAGAAGGGAATGCAAATATCCCCTATAACTTCAATGGGCATTGTCATATATTCTTTTTTGAGAAATCTGGGTCTATCAGACTCTAGATATCTCCTCTGCCCTCACATTATCTAATCAAACAAAATCGGTGTGATCAGATGCTTTCCCAATTTACAAATGGTGCTATTTTTTATATCCTGCGAAACTGAAGGGATGAAATGCTTGTAGCTTCCGAATTCTTAGACTATAGAGATAATTGGCACCATTCTGGTGTCCAATCAGCTCTATGGTCAGCTGGCAGAAACACCGGCTGCATTCTCAGGTTCCCCTGATGGCACGGGACTGCCCGAGAAGGCCGGGGAAGGCAGCGGGGGAGGGGCGACATAATCTCCCACTGCTTGTAAAAGCAATCTTGCAGCTAATTAGCCACTAGGATTGCTTTTTACATGAAAGCCGATCACCGGCTGAAAAAAATGACACCAGGATGATGCCTGCAGCTGTAGGCATCATCCTGGTATAACCATTCAAATCCAGTGATGTACCAGTACGTCGCTGGTCCTTGTTGGGTATATATGTGCTATGTTTCTTTTTTTTTTTTTTTTTTTTGTATGCAGCCTGTGGACTGAATGAAAAAATGAGAAGAAATCTCTGCCAGAAAAAGTGTGTGGTATGCCCACCATTAGAATATACCTCCCTGCATCCACCCACTTCTAATGGTGGGCACACATTAGGTCACACTTTGCCACAAGTGCCAATTCCCCAAGATTGAATAAAAGTCTAAATAGTGGCACACTTGAATAAAAATTGTCCACGTATATAAGTGGTACCATATGGAGAAATGATGACACCAAGTCCCAAACTATCTTGTACCTCACTGCTCAGCATATAGTCTGGGCATCCGGGCGGGCTCCTCGTGACTATCTTTTCCCTCGTAAATCCGAAACTTATAAGTATAGCCTGTTGTCCTCTCACAGGTCTTCTACATCTTGACCCCATATCTGGCACACTTGCAGGGGAGAAATTGTTTGAATGCAAGGCGGCCAGAAAAATTAATGAGGGACTCATCAACGCAGATGTTTTGCTGGGGAGTATAGACATCTGCAAATTTTAGGTTAAGGTGATTTGCGGGGGCTGAATTTTGTGGAGCCGGTCAAATTCAGGGTTACCCCGAGGATGACAGAGTGTATTGTCGCTGAAATGCATAAAACACATTATACTCTCATATCTATGCCTGGCCATGGCAGCAGAGAACACGGCATATGATGAATCGGGTCTGCGGACCAATACAAACTGCAATTCATTTCTTTTAGTAATGCCCATGTTGAGGGTTAGGCCCCAAAAAAATGTAAATTTGAAAACCGTAATGAGTTTCCATGCGAATGGTCTGGCAAGGCTTGAATTTTGGTTGGCGGCGATAAATTGTTGTGCATATAAACTGCTTTGATCCACAATCAACGCATACAGATATTCCGTGAAAAACAGCTCCAAAAATCAAGGAGGTATGTGAAAGACCAAGATGTACTATACGCTGGTACTCGCCAGTTCACCAAAAGGTAGAGCGGCACTAGTACTGGCACTCTGCTGCATATGAGTCATCAAAATTTACCAGCAAATGCTAACAGAGATCAGGCCTGATTCTCCGAAAACTGCGGTTTTGTGTGCAATGTATCAAGTGACAGTGACCTACTGACACTGCACTTGCTGGGGGAGAAGGGGGGGTAAGCGTAGGGGCTAAACACAGGTGTTGGCAGGTGCAGGGGCTGATCCCGCTAACGCTGCATTTTTGGGGACGCTATACTAATGTGAACGCTGGTATAGTGCTGACCTGATCAAAGATATTGACCCGTTCAGACACTATACTAGCAATGGAGGTTTATTGTACATGAGCATGCTCCTGGCAATCAAGGGTTTAAATGTGATGATTGGTGTACTGACGGGCAATCTGACGCTATCTGGGAGGGGTGTGAAAACCACGGGAGCGCGAATCACGTATATATATATAATATATATATATATATATGTGATTTTGCGTACCCATGCCGCCCTGTAGCAGTATTTCTGCTGTAGGGTGGTCAGGAAGCAGTTACAGAAGAGGTTTGTGTTACAGCGCTGCGTTACTTTAACTGACAATTGCGCGGTCAAGCAACACTGCACCCAAATAAAATTTACATCCTTTTTTTTTTCCTACAAATAGAGCTTTCTTTCGGTGGTATTTGATTGCCTGTGCGGTTTTTAATTTTTTGCGCTATAAAAAAAAAGACTGACAATTTTGAGAAAAAAAAAACAATATTTTGGACTTTTTGCTATAAAACATGTCCAGTAAAAAAAATTAAAAAAATCAAATTTTGTCACAAATTTCATCCAAAATGCATTCTGCGACATGTCTCTGCTAAAAAAAATCCCAATACGTGTAAATTAATTGGTTTACATGAAAGTTATAGCGTGTACAAATGGCGGGAAAGATACTGCGATTTTTAAAATTTTTTTATACTAATAATGGCGGTGATCAGCGACATATGGCGGCAATCAGCGACTTATGGCGGCGATCAGCGTCTTATGGCAGGACTACGGGACTGCGGCAGACATTTTGACACTGGGGGGGAACTGACTTGGGGTCACTGACATCCTCAGTGACACCAATACAGTGATCAGTGAAAACAAAACCCACTGACACTGTACTAATGGCACTGGGGAGGAAGGGGTTAACATTTTTAGGGTTTACTGTGTGAGGGGAGTGTTTTACTAGGGGCGGGGGAGTGTGCTGGAGGGGGACAGGCTGATCGAGAGAGAGTAACTCTTCTCTCCCTCTTCAGCTTGTCATGAGCTGTCAGGGAACTGACAGATAGCAGGGCTGTGTATAAACAATGCAGCCCAGCTCTCTGTCAGCGATCACCGCGAATCGTGGGGAAACGGCCGGTAATGACTGGCCATGACGGGCGGCGGAGACCCGCTGCTGACACCCGCGGGACAGGTAGGGCGCCCCCTACCTGTTTTGCAAAACCACGTTTTAAAACGTGGTTTTGCGCAGCCATGCCACCCTGCAAACGTACATATGCAGTGGCTGGGGCTGAAGAGGTTAGTGCATATCTCCTGTGCTAAAGGCCATCAAGCTATTGAAACTGTCCCATGTGCATGAAATAACATATCTTCTATTCAGCTCTGTCTATAGTTTTTAAGGTTCACCAGAATATACTTCCCCTAGTAGAGCATCTCCAAATATCCTATACAAACACCACCTTTCCGATGGCTGATGTTTGCATAGGGTTAAACAGGCTCCCAACTTCCATATCACAATACCTGGGCCCAGACTTTGGGACGACATGAGCCCATTTTTCCATTTCCAGAAGTCTGTTTCCATCTGTAAACTATTTGAAGCCTATGAAAGGTAAAAATATTTTCACAAAGTGAACCTCCAACTGAGACATCATCTGGAAAAGAATAAGGCAGCGTCAGAACATCTGTCAGGTTTTCACAGCATTCTACATATTTCTGCCAGATATTCTAATTCTTCCCTACTCTAGCCAAATCTGGAAAAAAAAATGTGTTGGCTGGAGTTCTGCTTTAATGGGCGAACCTGGGTGTGGAAAGTTATATTCACAGCTAAAAGAATACAGTGATAATTATAGAAGCCAACATTTAAAATAAAAATAAACCCAGATATTGATGAATTAATTTTAAAGGGATGAATGTATAGATAAATAATGATGGTGAGGATGGTTGCAGATTAAGTGAATGATGGCAAATATTGTGAATATGACAGTCAGGCATTCCATTGGGCCGAATACTGATTTTTGCATTGGTATCACTCACTAGTTTAATACTGCCACCTAGTGGTAATCACTCACTAGTTTAATACTGCCACCTAGTGGTAATTACCAACCTTGCATTGTATATTGCTCAGTTCTTGAGTATTTCACTGCAGAAAGCAGAAATAATTGAGTACTGTCCACGATACTTTTTTGATTTGCACTCACCATTATTCATTCAGTCTGTCTGGAATTACATGAGAAGACAGAAGGATATGAGGTAGCCTACTTCCACAGAATATCTATGGTTAGTTCTCCAAGATGATTGGAGCAACCTACCTGCCGAGTTCTCTTAAACACTCTGTGCAGGGTGGTAACACCAAATATTGATTTGATTTGGATTTCTCTTCCATTCATTTACTTTCCATTTGGTTAATTGACAAAAGTAAACTATTAACACTTTCTGAAGCATTCTTCATTTACATCATTGTTATCACACCTGCCTAAAAGCATTATTCTTCATTTACATCATTGTTATCACACCTGCCTAAAACTTTTGCCTTTTGCACACTACTATATATGTGTGTGTATATATATATATATATATATATATATATATATATATTTTATTTACACACAAACACTGTATATACACTATATTGCCAAAAGTATTGGGGCACGCCTCCAAATCATTGGATTCAGGTGTTCCAATCACCTCCATAGCCACAGGTGTTTAAAATCAAGCCCCTAGGAATGCAGACGACTTCTACAAACATTTGTGAAAGAATGGGTCAATCTCAGGAGCTCAGTGAATTCAAGCGTGGTACCGTGATAGGTTGCCACCTGTGCAATAAGTCCATCTGTGACATTTCCTGGCTACTAAATATTCCACGGTCAACTGTTAGTGGTCTTATAACAAAGTGGAAGCGACTTGGAATAACAGCAACTCAGCCACGAAGTGGTAGGCCACGTAAAGTGACAGAGCGGGGTCAGCACATGCTGGAGTGCACAGTATGCAGAAGTTGCCAACTGCCTGCAGAGTAAGTAGCTAAAGACCTCCAAACTTCATTTGGCCTTCAGATTAGCACAACAACAGTACATAGAGAGCTTCATAGAATGGGTTTCAATGACCAAGCAGCTGCATCCGAGCCTTATATCACCAAGTGCAATGCAAAGCATCGGATGCAGTGGTGTAGAGCACTGGACTCTAGAGCAGTGGAGATGTGTTCTCTGGAGTGACCAATCATGCTTCTGTGTCTGGCAATTCAATGGACATGTCTGGGTTTGGCGGTTGCCGGGAGAACAGTACAGTACTTTCCTGACTGCATTATGCCAAGTGTAAAGTTTGGTGGAGGGAGGATTATGGTGTGGGGTTGATTTTCAGAGGTTGGGCTTGGCCCCTTAGTTCCAGTAAAGGGAACTCTTAAGGCATCAGCATACCAAGACATTTTGGACAATTTCATGCTCCCAACTTTGTGGGAACAGTTTGGGGATGGCCCCTTCCTGTTCCAACATGACTGCGCACCAGTGCACAAAGCAAGGTCCATAAAGACACGGATGAATGAGTTTGGGGTGGAGGAACTTGACTGGCCTGCACAGAGTCCTGACCTCAAACCGATAGAACAGCTTTGGGATAAAGCAGAGTATTGGAGACTACGAGCCAGGCCTTCTCATCTGACATCAGTGCCTGACCTCAAAATTGCGCTTCTGGAAGAATGGTCAAACATTCCCACAGACACACTCCTAAACTTTGTGGACAGCCTTCCTAGAAGAATTGAAGCTGTTTTAGCCAACTCAATATTGAACCCTATGGACTAAGACTGGGATGCCATTAAAGTTCATGTGTATTTAAAGGCAGGCGTCACAATACTTTGGAAATATAGTATATAAACTGCGTGTGTGTGTGTGTATATATATATATATATATATATATATATATATATATATATATATATATACATATACATATATATCAATATATATATATATATATATATATATATACATACATACATACATACACATCATTATCACACCTGCCTAAAACGTTTGCCTTTTGCACACTACTATGTGTTATATACATATATATATATATATATATAACATAGTAGTGTGCAAGAGGCAAACGTTTTAGGCAGGTGTGATAACAATGTGTGTGTATATATATATATATATATATATTTGTTTTAACCTAAATTATAGTAATTCATCAGCCTCCTGAGTCATAAGCTAAAGATAGGCTACTCCCTTTCATGGTGACATGGTGGCAATATTGATTATGATTGCCCTGATTATTGTACTGATGCCCTGATTGACTTGAACTGTCTCTCTCAAGGAAATGTGAAGACATTACTTTTTCTTGCATTCATGTAACACCATTATATTGGAGAACACTTTGCAGTGCACATAGGACCAATTACATCATTACCACAGATGAGCTTACAACGTATTGTCTTTACGTAGGTCAAAGGCACTGATTAAACCGTTTATTCGGAACACCCGTACACTGCTTACTCATACAATTATGTAATCAGGAAATCATGCAGTAGCGCTGCACAAAACTGTGCAGATATGGGTCAAATGCCTTAATATTTTTCACATACCAGAATGGGAAACAACGTGGTATTTTTGTTGGGGTCATATGGATTGGTTTGAGTATTTCTGTAATTTCTGCTCTCCTAGAATTTTCATACCTCAGGGTTTGTTCACACCAGCCACTGTGCCCTGTGCAACGGGGCCTCCTGAATAGGAGGGGTGGCATATAGAGGCACCAATCTGTCCATTTCCCTCCTGTCACCACTGAATGCCCTATTCTCCTCCTCTCCCTCTTGCAGGCATTCAGCGGATGCAGGAGAGAAATGGACAGATCAGTTCCTCTATTTGCCGTGTCGCCGCCCCTCCTATCCATCTTCTTTCTGTTTCCCCGGGCCCACGTCCTCTCTCCTGGTACCCCTGTGCTCTCTTTCTTGTCTGAATGGACAGTCAGTGATCGGTACCGATCACTGACTTTGTCCATTCATAACTGAGGCATAGTAAACTGTGCTTACTATACTTCAGTTTTGGAATGAACAGGAAGCTCTGTGCTGTACAGAGCTATTTTTGTCCATTCATTCTGTACTACTGAGGCTGCAGAGATGGAGATTGAGAGCTGTGTCCACAATCTCCTTTCACTGTCTCAATCTGTTTAGACCCGATATCTCACCAAAGCTCCCCAATGGGGCTCCTAAAAAAAATTGTAAAACAAAAAAAAATTAAATTTGTAAAAAAAATTAAATACAATAAAACGATAAAAAGAAAAAAAAAAACCTACTGGCACCAGTGGCCAAACTGCCAGGGTCACAAAGGTTGCACTTGCGACTGGGCTTCAAGAGAAGGGCACCCGGGCTTGGGGCTGCTCAGTTGAAAATGCCTATTTTTGTTCCAGTCCAGGCCTACCTGCCATATTTTTTTTTAGCTCACTGAACCTGCACACCACTGCAATGCGGGGGGGGGGGGGGGGGGGGGGAACTGGCCACATAGGAGACAGGCATTTTGCCTTGTGTTCCGGTGGGACTGTGCTGGAATAATTGCCCAACATATTTCCACCACATCTGATGTGAACATACCACAGTCTCTACAGTTTACTCAGAGTAGTGCAAAGAATGACCCAGTAGGCAGCATATCTGTAGACAGATATGTTGAAAGTTAAGAGCAGAATGGCCAGATTGGTTTAAGTTGACAAAAAGGCTATGATAGCAATTGTTGGTGAGCAGAAAAGTATCCCAGATGCACTCAATATTTGCCACAATTTTTTGGAACGAAGAAACATGCTGGGATTAAGGGACTTAATGTGGTGCTGCTGTGATGCTGCCCTGTAATAGATTTTTTTCTACTGGTGACAGGTCCACTTTAAATAAAAGAGCACATTCAGGAAGTTATTCTAAATGATCTGGGCTCAGAATTTAAGTCCAGGAAGGATTTGCAACATTAACTTATAATAATATTTAACCCACTTTGTACAAGAAAAGCAGAAACCTTTTTTACTTCCAATTAAAACTCATTCAGGTTCAGGGAGTGGAAGTGAAATCTCATGAACACATGGCAGACTTGTGATTCTTACACATAGTTTCTGTTCTGCAGTGTTCCCTGGACACAGCTTTTGTAAGAATCGTTCCCGGAAAATATTCCACTTGTCACTTTCATTAATCATAGCCTTCATTACAGCTGTCTTAGAAAAGGGATTTTGGAGGGAGCTATCATCGGGTCAGCACGGAAGCATTCCTAGCTTTTTAGATCAATTCAAAAGGAACTTGCTTTTTTTTTTAAGGGTAGACCGCTATAATGCAGAACATCAAAGGCCTTGAGTTATGTTTTGCAGCCTGAAAGGTGTCAGTGAAAGCTGCCAATATTTAATTGTACACATTTCCTTACTATGGCATAACTTGAACTTTGATCCTTTCATGTGTCAGCACATATTTCTCTCCACCTATATAATACAACACATACATTTATTTCTTGGGGAGCAGGACAATAGAGTCATCACTGGCCAACCTTTCCAAATTGCTTTTCTTTATTCTGGGTTTGTCCGTTTAACAAGGTAAGTATAATCAGTAGTGTTAAACCCTGAGCATTTTTAGCCTAACACAATAAAATATACCTTCTCCAGTAAATAATTTGTTAAAGTGTTACTAAACCCACAACAGTAAAATCAATCTTTATATGCAGTAAAGCATGCTGGTTATACTCAGTGTGGAATCTAAGGGGTTAATCCTCTGCATTGTGTAAAAAGGCTGTTTGAGCCTTTTTTCTCTGTTCCTTCCCTTCTTCAAGCGACCACCACTTATCTCCAGACTGAACTGTAGGCAAGCACATGTTCAGTTTGGTGTGTATTGCTAGAGAGGTATTTTTTTTTCTTGGGAGAGTGCATGTGATCAGCACAGGGCCAATCAGCGCTGTCCAGACGAGGTCAGGCGTTTTGCATCCTCCTAGAACAGAAAGAAAACTCCTCCTACAATCTTTAGCTAGTGCTCGACTGGACACAGAAGCCACAAGACTGCTATATACTGCTGATGAGAAAAGGTATTTAGCAGTTTATATTTACTAAAATAATTGCAATTCCATGTTCTGTGTACTGCGGGAGACCAGATATAGTGGATGCAGGGGTCAGGGTTTAGTAACATTCTTGCGGAAACACACAAAAGTGTCATTTTTTAGTCTCTGCATGCAAGGGTGTCTCCACAGGATGATACAACAGAAAGGAGCCCCCCTGAAACAGGAAACCTGGTGCAGCAGCCATGGTACCTTCTTAAACTTAAACACTGCATACTTAGTAGGCAATTCAATCAGTTGCTTAAGTGCTAAAAAAACTTGTTAGGGTTTAAAGTGTCACTAAATCCACAACAGTAAAATCAGTCTGTATATGCAGTAAAGCATACTTGATATACTCACTGTGGAACCTAAGGGGTTAATCCTCTGCATTGTGTAAAAATTCTCTGATCCTCCCCTTTTTCCAGTGTCCCCCTCTTATCTGCTGATAAGGCATAGCGGGTGGAGACACTCTGCACATGCTCAGTTTGGTGTGTATTGCTAGAGGGTTTTTTTTTTTTACTTGGAAGAGTGCATGTGATCAGCACAGGGCCAATCAGCACTGTCCAGACAGAGGTCAGGGGTCCTGCATCCTCAAAAAAGGAGAAAGAAAACTCCTCTTACAAGCTTTAACCAGTGCTCAGCTGGACACTGATATAAGTCACAAGTCTACTCTAACTGCTGATGAGAAAAGGTATTTAGCAGTTTACATTTACTAAAATAATTGTATTTCCATGTTCTGTGTACTGGGGGAGACCAGATATAGAGAATGCAGGGCTTGGGTTTAGTAACACTCTAATATCACATTAAAGCTGATTATACACTTAGCAGTGTGATTGCACATACAATCTCTTTTTGATCTACCAATAACCATGTAATGCTTGATTGAATGTAAATTGAATAGAAAGTGTTATAGTTAAGCAATTTTACAGAGCATACTCAGATTATAAATTACAGTATATAGTCAGCTTTAGGTTTACAAAAATAATGTATTAATGTAATATAGTGTCTAATCCACACAACCAATATGCAATACATTCAGGCACTTGCACTACATCATTGTTGGTAGT